CGCCCTTGCACTCCGTGTCCATCCGGCTGTCGTAGTACCGCAGCTGCGGGAGAGCCGTGCTCAGGGCAGGGATGGGATGGGATGGGATGGATGGGATGGGATGGGATGGGATGGGACAGAGGGACAGGACAGACCCCGGGGCCCACCCGGTACCTGATGTTTGGTTTTATCCAGCACAAACCACCGAGACTTCCAGGGTTTCATGAAGGCGCCTTTCTTGTACAGAGACCCCTCGTAGGATCTGTGGGGCAGGAAGGGGCCAGAACAGCAGGGTCAGGGATGGAAACCCCCCGGGACCCACATCCTGCCCCCCAACCCTGGGAGGGATCTCCCTCCCGCTGCCACCATTCCCAGCCCATTCCCAGCCCCGCCTGCCTGTTCTCGCTCTCGGACATCTGGAACTGGCTGTAGAGGGTGGAGGTGCTGCGGCGGCCGCCCGGCTTCCCGCTGGAGGGGGTGGAGGTGCTGCTGGTGTCGCTGTCCAGGCTGAGGTTGAGCGTGGAGCCCACCCCGCTCTCCTGCAGGTACACGCCCAGCGAGCGCCGGTGGTGGGACAGCCCCGATGACATCAGCAGGGAGCTGGGGGTCTGTGGGACAGGGACAGCGTGAGGGGGCTGGGGCTGAGCACCAGCAGCAGAACCAGCACCACAACCACCGTCAGAACCAGCAGCAGCACCAGCCTGCCACACCCTATCACACCTCTGTCACAGTCTTGCCACAGCCCCTGTCACACCCTGTCACACCATCACAGCCCTTGCCACAGCTACGCCCACACCCTGTCACACACTGTCACAGCCCTGTCACCTACCCTGTTGCCCTCCTGCCGCCCCTCCGTGCGCTGGGACGCCTTCACCTTGTCCCACGTGTCCTTCCAGCGCTCCGGGACCTGCCCCAGCTCCATCTCCAGGTTGTGCAACTCCTGTGGGGGGGGATTCCAGCATCAGCCCCGGAGGGGACAAACGCCCCGGGGCCGCTGTCCCTGTGCCGGGGCTCTGCGGGGTGCCATCCCCGGGGCAGCGACGCCCACCTCGAGCAGTTTGGAGATGGCGTCGGGCTCCACGCGGCTGCGGTTGTCGTAGCAGGGCCAGATGATGCGGCGCTTGCTCTGCGGGGCCGCCGTGTCCTGGCGATCCGGCTCCTCCGCCGGCTCCGGCTGCCCCTGCGCCAGCTCCCAGTCGTACGGGGGGCCCTCGGACAGCGTCTCCTCCGTGTAATAGTCCCACACCTTCAGGTTGGAGATGTTGCTGTACGGCCTCAGCACCTGGGGGAGAGGTGGGGGTGGCTCAGGAAGGGCAGCGGGGCCTGGCTGGACATTCCCAGCCACACCACGGGGACAGCGTGTCCACATGGAGCACTGGGAGTGACCAACCTGGAGAGGGAAAGGATCCAGGGAGAACTCAGAGCCCCTGGCAGGGCCTGCAGGGGCTCCAGGAGAGCTGCAGAGGGACTGGGGACAAGGGATGGACAGGACACAGGGAATGGCTCCCACTGCCAGAGGGCAGCCATGGATGGGATCTTGGCCATGAGGAATTCCTGGCTGGGCTGGAATTGCCAGAGCAGCTGGGGCTGCCCCTGCATCCCTGCAGTGCCCAAGGCCAGGCTGGACACTGGGGCTGGAGCAGCCTGGCACAGTGGGAGTGTCCCTGCCATGGCAGGGTGGCACTGCAGGGGCTCTGAGGTCCCTTCCCAGTGGACAAATCCCAGCTCCAGCTGCTCCTGCAGGGAGGATGCCAGCCCCCCAGGTGCCCCCAGCTCTCACCTCTCCGTCCTCAGGTGCGTACAGGTAGTTGAAGAAGATGGGAGCTTTCTTGTTGAGGCGGTCGATGTAATCCCAGATGGATTTGGAGACCTGCTGGCCCTTCCGCTCGCCCTTCTCCTCGTACAGGAGCCCTGGGGGGACAGAGGGGACACCGGGTGTGACAGGGGCAGGGGCAGGTGCCATCCCTGGCCCCGCACGCCGCGCTCACCCAGCTCGATGCGCTCGTAGTCCGAGTCCAGCAGGAATGTCCGGAAGCGGTTGGAAATGTAGTGGTAGCTGAGGAACTTCAGGTAGTACTGGCTGAACTCGAACTCCATGGGGAACTGCAGGTGGATCTGCAGGAGAGCCCCGGCATGGCTGGGATCCAGGCACACGGGCTGGGCCCTCCAGCCTGCCCCAGGGGCACTCCCAGGGCTCGGGGGCTCCACTGGGCACTGGGGCTCCCACCGGGTGCTCAGGGGTCCCGGTGGACACTTGGGGGTTCCAGCAGGCTCTGAGGGGTCCCTCTGGGAGCTGGGGCTCCCACCGGACACTCATGGACTTGGGGGCGCTTGGGGGGCACTCAGGGGTCCCCCCTGGTCCCTGGGGGGTCCCGCCAGGCACTCGGGGGTCCCCTGGCCCAGGTCCCAGGGCTCACCTGGTGCACGCAGTCCAGGAACTGGAGGAAGATGGGGGCGAAGCCGCTGCTCTGCCCCGCCAGGGTCTGGGCGCCGCGGTGGCTGAAGCGGTGGCCGAAGGACAGCCACTCCTTCTCCACCAGCAGCCGGAAGCCCTCCAGCGTCCGGTAGTAGGGGTCGGACAGGAGCTGCACCAGGGACACCACCTGCGGGGACAGGGGGCTCAAGGGGCTGTGGGGGGACGGCCACGGGGCCACCCCGGCCAGCGCCGGGCTCTCACCTGGGTGGTGATGTCCCAGCCGTCCTCCAGACTGACCAGCACGGACGAGCCCGTGTCCAGCAGCTCCACCACCAGCACCGAGATCTGCAGGATCTTGTGGATCTGCCAGGGCAAGGCCAGGAGTGAGGAGGGCGCAGGGAGTTCCTGGGCTGGGTGAGGGGACAGTGTCCCCTTCTCCGGAGTGAGGCCACGCTCGCGGGTCACGGGGGCCATCACCCTGTGCTCGGACACAGCAGCAGCAGAAGGGACAGGGGATCCTCACTCCCTCCAGAGTGGGACCCTTCCCACAGCTCCACATTGGACCAGTCCCCCTGGGCCGCCGCCCCTGGCTCATCCTGGCACTGCCCTGTCCAGCCCCTCTGGAGCACCCCGCAGGTCCTGCCCGGCATTCCTGGCTGGCAGCTCTGTGCAGCACCATGAGCTGAGCTCTGCATTGTCCCAGCCCTGCCCCTCACACCCCCCTGCACGTCCCCAGGGTGTCCCAGTGCTGCCCTGCACAGGGCACCGGAGCCCATCCTCGCTCAGAGCCCCCAGGGGAGGGGAGGGGAGGGCCAGGCCCTGGCTGAGGGTGACTGACCTGGGACAGCCACTCCGACTCCTCCAGGGAGCGCAGGTAGGCCACGCTGGGGTCGCTGGAGGGGCAGCCGGGCACGCAGGCCTTCATCAGCTTCTTGAAGCTGGCCTTGACCTGGCGCACGTCGAACACCTCGATGGGCACCACCTCCCAGTGCTGCAGCGGGTCCGGCTTCACGCCCTGCAGAGGGACAGCATGGCCTGGGCTGCCCTGAGCCACTGCCACCCTCGGGATCAGGGAATTCCTCGGACTGGAAAAGCCCTCGGAGACCGTGGAGTCCAACCATTCCCAGCACTGACAAGGCCACCACTGACCCTGTCCCCAAGTGCCACATCCACACAGCTTTGAAATCCCTCCAGTGATGGGCACTCCAACGCTCCCTGGGCAGCCCCTGCCAAGGCCTGACTTGTCCCCGATGATGTAGAGCGAGGCGCGGTGCTGCCGCAGGAAGGAGGGCTCGGCGGGGGTCCCGTTGTGCTGCGTCCCCAGCAGGTCCTTCCCCGCCAGGCGGGACCCGATCTCCACGTTCAGGGCGTAGCTGCTCATGCGGCCGCTGGCCCGGATGCTGCCCCACTTCCCTGCGGGATCGGGGCCGGATCAGGGCGGGGCCGGGGCTCGGGGGCTGCGCTGGCCCCGCAGCCCGGCCCGGGGGGCACATGCCAGGGAGGTGCTGGGCACCGGGTTTGCTTTGGCTCCTTCTCCCTCTGGGTGCTGCAGGAATTCCTGCCTGCTGGATTCCGACCCCGTTGGCTCCGTGTCTCGTCACTGGCACTGTCACACCCCACTCCAGCGTCACCAGGACCTGCCACCTGCACCACAGCCCTGCCCGCTGTGCCACAGCCCTGCCACCAGCTCTGCCCCGCCCCGGCACCACCACCCAGCACCGCAGAGGCCGAGGAGCCCAAAGCAAACCTGGCGAGGCTGCCCGGTACTTACCGTGCCCGTGGCACACCTGGAGCAGTGGGGGGCTCGGGGGGTTACTGGGGTTACTGGGCATTAGTGGTGAGGGGCAGGGAGGGAGGGAGTGAGTGAGTGAGTGAGTGGGGGTCAGTGCTCAGTCACACCCGGCCGGCTCGGGCGCTTCGTACCTCGGGGCGTCTCGCGGCCCTTCGGCGACGCGCACTTGGGGGAGGACAGGGTGATGACCCTGGCTCTGTGACCCAGCCCTGGGGGCACAGGACGAAAGTGACCTCAGCAAGGGACACGGAGCCACGGACAGGGAATGGGATGGAGGCGATGGCACCGGGGCTGTGGCCGAGCCCTCCCTCCCTCCCTGAGGCTGTGGCTGCAGCTCCAGCTCAGGGGAGAATCTGCTCTTCCCAGGGGATCACCTGCTCTTCCCAGCAGGGTCACCTGTTCTTTCCAGGGGATCACCTGCTCTTCCCAAGGGATCACCTGCTCTTCCCAGGGATCACCTGCTCTTGCCAAGGAATCAGCTGCTCTTCCCAAGGGGTCACCTGCTCTCCCCAGGGATCATCTGCTCTCCCCAGAGATCAGCCTTCCCAAGGGGTCACCTGCTCTTCCCAGGGATCGCCTGCTCTTGCCAAGGAATCATCTGCTCTTCCCAGAGGGTCACCTGCTCCCCCCAGGGGATCACCTGCTCTTCCCAGGGATCGCCTGCTCTTCCCAAGGAATCATCTGCTCTTCCCAGGGGGTCACCTGCTCCCCCCAGGGCATCACCTGCTCTGCCCAGGGGATCACCTGCTCCCCCCAGAGAAGCATCTACTCTACGAGAGCTGCCCGGGGCTGGGGGTCTCGGCGAGGCCCCCAGGCAGCGCCCCCGCCCCGTCCTCACCTCCGCGGCTCAAAGTCCCAGGCCCTTCGTCCTTCCCTCCCATCACCTGCTTCATGAGCGATCCCAGCTTAGGCTGCTGCCTCTTGTCGGAGAAATCTGCAGCACCAAGAGAACGTCAGCTCCCGAGGCCTCCCGGGCTCCCGAGCCCTCCCGGAGCCAGGGCAGGGGCCGGGAGGAAGCGGCAGCAAGCGGAACCCCGGGGATGCGGAGCCAGCGCGGGAAGCACCGTCCAGCCGGAGCCATGGAAAACCAGTGCCTGGGCAGCCCTGGAGGAGGGGGCTCGGCCCCCAGCCCATGGTGGGGTCACCCTGTGCCAGCCCTGCCAGGTCACCTGTGCCACCCTCAGAGCCAGGCTGAGGCCCCTGCTCTGGCTGCGCTCTGGACACGTCCCCTCACACCGGGGAAAGGCCTCGGAGGGGCTGTTGGGAAGTTCTCTGCCTTCAGGATCAGGGAGCCCCCCATGGCTCCCCAGAGCCCCCAGCCCCTGATGTGCCCACAGTGATGATGGGTGGGATGATGGGACAGCATGGATGGCACTGGGACAGGATGGATGGCACCGGACAGGACAGATGACACTGGGACAGCATGGATGGCACCAGAGTGCAGCAGGGTGGGATGGAGCTCTGCCCTGCAGGGAGGGCCAGCTGGGAAGGGACAGCTGGGACAGGACAGTTGGGACGGTCTGTCTGGGAAGGGACAGCTGGACACAGACTTACCAGGGGTCCCCAGACTGACCCCGGCACCACGCATGGGGGACACGCAGTGCTGAGATCCTGGTGGGAAGGGTCTGTCCCCCCAGAAAGTGCCCAGATCCCAGCACAGGCTTTGGCTCCCAGCACTCCCAGCCCCAGGGACACCAGATGTCCCAAAGCCCATCCCCACCCGCAGCCAGGGAGACCCAGCTGGAGCTGGGAGCTCTGGAGAGGCTGTGCTGTCTCCTGGGATGGGAGCCCGGAGAGCAGCTCCCTCGGGATGCAGAGCAGGAGCCAGGGCTGGCAGGAGCCCACCTGTGCCCCCTCCCCTGTGCCCCCTCACCTGCACTGCTCATGTGAGCCGAGGTGAAGCCGCTGAGGGTGTTGCGCCCGCCGGCGTCCGAGTAGTGGGGCATGGAATTGATGACAGCCTGCAGGTACTTCTCCTGCTCCAGGCTCGTGGAGTCCGCCTGCGAGGGGCCTGCAGGGGACACCCCGGAGTGTCACCTGGACACCCTCAGGTTGTCACTACCCAGAACCAGGAGACCTCTGAGGTAACCACCCACAGCTGAGAGACCCCTGAGTGCCACTGCCTGGAGCTGGGGAGACCCCCAGGTGTCACTGCACCAAGATAGGGAGACACCTGAGTGTCACCACCCCAGAGCCAGGGGACAGCTCAGTGTCACCCCAGTGCCAGAGACCCCAGAGCATCACCACCCTGAGCCAGGGGACCCCTGAGTGTCACTGCCCAGAGCCAGGGGACCCCTGAATGTCACCACCCTGAGCCAGGGGACCCTTGAGTGTCACCACCCTGAGCCAGGGGACCCCTGAGTGTCACTGCCCAGAGCCAGGGGACCCCTGAGTGTCACCACCCTGAGCCAGGGGACCCCTGAGTGTCACCGCCCGGCGCCAGGGGCGATCCCACGGCCCCAGCTCCATGTTCCAGCCAGGCTGGGATGGTCACCTGGGGTCGGGGCGTTCTGGGACTTGAAGAGGCCGACGACGCCCTTGCCGTGGAGGCCCCCGGAGCGCAGGAGCACGGCCTTGGTGCGCGAGTTCCTCCAGCACACCACGGGGAAGCGGCTCTGGCGGTAGCAGCGCGAGATGCGCTGGATGGTGTTGTCCTGGATGCTCTGCGGCACGATCAGCAGCCCGGGGTAGCTGCGGACACAAACCCCGGGATGGCACAGCTCTCCTGAGGCTTTGTTAGTGCTTTCACTAATCCTGAGCGGCGACACTTGGAGCCAGCACTGATCACCCTGCTCCACACGCCTGACTGCTCCTCGGACCATTAAATCACAACTCCGAGTTGGGTAAAACCAGCCCTCACAAGCAGCACTGAACAAAGCCCGAGGGAGTTAAAGGCTGGACACCTGGGAGCCGGAATTCATGGCTCTCCAAGGACACCAGGGAGTGACCAGGACTCATGGTCATCCAAGGACACGTTAGAGTGACCAGGACTCATGGTCATCCAAGGACACGTTAGAGTGACCAGGACTCATGGCCCTCCAAGGACACAATGGAGTGACCAGGACTCATGGTCATCCAAGGACACATTAGAGTGACCAGGACTCATGGCCTCCAAGGACATGATGGAGTGACCAGGATTCATGGTCATCCAAGGACATGATGGAGTGACCAGGACTCATGGTCATCCAAGGACACACTGGAGTAAATGAAGATAAAGGAAACACTAACAAAGACATTTCAGCCTCGGTGCTGGAAACTCCCCATGTGGGAAAAACATGATAAAAACACTGGAAAATTCAGAGTAATCATGAGAAGTGAGAATCAATAATCAGCTGAGGGCAGAACAGTGATTAATGAAGAGGACTGGGCAACTTAGAACCAATGAACATTGGCTAAAAATGTATCAGTAAGTGAGAAAGTTGTGGGGTGCTGCAGGCTGGGACTGGGTTGGCCAAGGACAAAGCCATACTGGCACCAGTGGAGGGTTTCATTGATCCCGGTGGTTCGGGGTGTCCCAGTGACACCGGGATCAGCAGGGATCCGCTCGGATCGGCAGGTATCGGCAGGGACCCGCTGGGATCAGCAGGGATCCGCAGGGATTCACTGGGATCAGCAGGGATTCACTGGGTTCAGCAGGGACCCGCAGGGACCCGCAAGGATTCAATGGGATCAGCAGGGAAGCAGGGACCCGCTGGGATCAGCAGGGACCCGCAGGGATTCAATGGGATCAGCAGGGATCCACAGGGATCCTCAGGGACCCGCCGGGATTGGCAGGGACCCTGCCCCGGCCGGCTCACCTGCGGCAGATGGCGTACATGCGGTTGACGGTGGAGATGCGGAAGGGCTCGTTCTTGGAGCGGGTCAGGCTGCTGCTCAGCGTGCCCAGCCCCAGGCGCTGGTAGTCCCGGCAGCAGGCGCGCTCCACCACGTGCGTCATGGTCATCTTCTCCGACGGCCTCATGGTGCTGCTGGGCGTCAGGGTGCTCCTGTCCAGCTCCTCGGACACTGCGGGGACACGGCGGGGCTGGCACACCTCGGTGCACACACGCGGTGTCCCAGAGCAGCAGGAGGGTGGCTTGGAGCAATGTCCCACCCTGCTGCCGTCACCCGTCACCACCACCAGAGCCCTGGGAGATTCTCCAGACAACCCAAGACCTCCCTCCGTGCTGGGCTCTCTGCCTGGCCACCACCAGCAGCCAAGGGCAGCACTGGGAACCAGGAGATACTCCCACCCTGCTCCCACCGCAGGGACACCGGGACTTCTCCAGGTGCCACTGCTGCCTGGCCTCCCTGCTCCCACTGCAGGGACACTGGGATTTCTCCAGGTGCCACTGCTGCCTGGCCTCCCCGCGGCGCTCCCAACCTGAGATCTCGTCCTCGTTGTCCTCGGGGAAGTGCTGGCTGCCCCGCTGCTCCCAGGCGGGCGGCGTGTACTTCTTGCGGGTCACGTACTGCCGGCCGATCGTCCTCTTGGCGTTCTTCACCAGGTTCTTGGACAGCGTCCTGGGCACACGGGCAAGGGCAGAGGGACAACGCTGTCACCCAGGCAGCCAGAGCCAGGAGCAGCCCTCAGCCTGGGCGGTCGCTGTTACACGGGAGGGGACGGATGTGTCACCTGCCAGCGCCTTGGCCCTGCAGGAGCAACAGCTTCTGCCATTCCCAAGGGATTTGGGGAGCCGGGGAGGTGGGATGGGGCAGTGCCCCACCCTCTGGATCAGAGCTGCCACAGGCAGAGCTCTGGCTCATCCCAGGAGAGGCTCCAAATCACAGCAAGGGACAGGGATCCAGCACAGGGACATGGGGATCTACTGGGATCATGGAATCCATGGCAGGGCCATTGCCAGCCAAGCCTGGGCTCAGGGCTGCAGCCAGTGCTGCAGGACAATGTCCCCAGGTCACCCTGCACTGCAGGACAATGCTACCCAGTCATTCAGCACTGAAGGACAGTGTCCCCAGGTCACCCAATGCTGCAGGACAGTGTCCCTGGGTCACCCAGTGCTGCAGGACCATGTCCCCAAGTCACCCAGCACTGCACCCCTGAGACACCCTGTGCAAAATCAGTGTCCTCGATTCACCCAGTGCAGGAATAATGTGTCCTCAAGTCACCCAGCACTGCAGGACAATGTGCCTGAGTCACCCAGCACTGCAGGACGATGTCCCCAAGTCACCCAGCACTGCAGCACTGTGTCCCTGAGTCACCCAGAGCAGGAGCACTGTGTCCCCAAGTCACCCAGCACTGCAGCACTGTGTCCCTGAGTCACCCAGGCCACTGAAACCCATCCTCTGGGACACCTCCTCAGGCAGGGGATGCCACTGCAACAAGCTCCCACTTCCCAGTGTGACCCGTCCTTCCCAGTGTGACTGTGAGGCTGGGGACCCTGCAAGACAGGGGACACCTGCAGCTCTTTGGGCTCCACAGCTCCCTGCCAGGAGGGGACAGCCAGGGGGGTCAGGCTGTGCTCCAGGGAACAGGGACAGCTGTGTGAACAGCCTCAGGCTGGGCCAGTGGAGGTTTGGGTGGATTTTAGGGAAATTCCTCCTGGAAAGGGCCGTGCAGCCCTGGCACAGGGGTTGGGTCCCCATCCCTGGAGGGATTTAAGAGCTGTGTGGATGTGGCACTTGGGGACATGGACAGTGCTGGGAATGGCTGCAGTCATTGTCTCACAGGGCTTTCCCAAGTCTAAGGATTCTCTGATCTCCAGAGATGCAAACCCTGCACCAGGATGGGTCTGAGCAAGGAGGGCTCAGCTCCCCGTGTCCCCCTCCCCGAGTGCCCCCAGCCCGGTGGCTCTGCCGGAGCGGGGACAGGAGGGGCAGTCCCAGAGGATGAGGCACACCCAGGTGTGATCCCCGCTTCTGGCACAGGTACCTGAGTGAGGGGTTCTTCTCCTTGGCCTTGGGCTGCATGGCCTGCTTGGGGGACTGGCCCACGGTGAAGGCGAAGGTGCCGCGCACGTGCTGGGGGTAGCGCAGCTTGTGCAGGTGCTTCCGGAAGATCTCGGCGCTGTCCGAGGCCACCTCCTCGTCAAAGGCGATCTTCAGCAGCTGGGGGGCACGGGTGGGGGGTGACAGCGGGGTCACGACAGGGACAGCCCTTGCCATGCATCAGGGCAGAGCTTGGATCCACCCAGGAGCACCACGGGCACAGGCTGGACTGAGAGGCTGCCCTGCCTCTCCCTGCATTCCCATTCCCTTTCTGCTGTCCTGTTCCCTTTCTCCTGCCTCATTCCCTTTCCTCTGTCCCATTCCCTTTCCTGCATCCCACACAGTTTCTGTTGTCCTGTTCCCTTTCCCCTGCCTCATTCCCTTTCCTCTGCCTCATTCCCCTTCTCCTGCCCCATTCCCTTTCCTCTGTCCCATTCCCTTTCCGCTGTCCCATTCCCTTTCCCCTGTCCCATTCCCTTTCCCCCTGGAGTCTCCACTCCTGCTCCTGCGTGTCCCTGTGCACAGCACAAGGAGCTCTCTCCCAGGACAGGTTCCCACCTGGAATGTGCAGGAGCGCAGCTGCAATCCCTCCTGGATGAACTGATCCGCCTGGGCCTGGATACTGATCTTCTTCTCTTTGGTCAGCGAGGCGATGGGGAAGGACCGGATTACCACCTGCTCCCCCACTGGACACAGGACAGGAACGGGTCAGATCCATCCCTGCCCCGGCCCCAGGCAGGGCCAGGCCACCCTAGGCCACCCTCGGTGTCTGCCCCACCACGGACATGGGTCCATGGGACACAGCGGCCAGAAACAACCAACCCTGATCCCCAGGGATCACCAACCCTGATCCCCGGGGATCACTGACCCTGATCTCCAGGGATCACTGACCAGCCCCCTGCTCCCCAAGGATCACCAACCCATCCCCTGATACCTATGGATCAGCCTCCTGATCCCAGGAATCACTGACCCTGATCCCCAGGGATCACTAACCAGCCCCCTGATCCCCAGGGATCACTGACCCTGCTCCTCAGGGATCACTAACTAGCTCCCTGATCCCCAGGGATCACTAACCAGCCTCCTGATCCCCAGGGATCTCCAACCCTCCCCCCTGCTCCCCAGGGATCACTAACCAACCTACCCCTTGACCTCCAGGGATCCACTGACCAGCTCCCTCCTCCTTAAGCATCCCCAACCATCCCTCTGATCCCCAGGGATCCTCAACCCTCCCCCCTTTCCCGAGGCCGCAGCCCCTCACCCAGGGGGTCCGTGGGGGTTCCCTTGAAGATGATCCTGTAGGTGGTGAGGAACACGGCTCCCTCTGCGGGGAGCAGGGGGGGCCCCCCGATGCTGCCCCCGGCCCCCTCCTCGCGCCCGTCCGGCATCAGGTACACGCGGAGCCCCTCCATCACACACTCCTCCCCCAGCAGCAGGTTGGGCCGCAGCAGCTTTGGCTGGGGGAACAACGGGGGGCTCAGGCCTGTGGGAAGGGTCTCACAGCCCCCCCAGCTCAGCTCCCAGCCCAGCAGGGCATCCCTACCTTCTGGATGGGAGGAAGCCTCTTGCTCTCCCTGTGCACGGCATCCAGGGTCTCGATGTGCATCTGCACGATGTCTGTGGGACAGGGGGTGAGTCCTGCCCTGCCCAAATCCCACCTGTCCTGCCTGAATCCCACCTGCCCTGCCTGAATCCCACCGTGCCCCTGCCTGAATCCCACACTGTCCCTGACAGAATCCCACCCTGTCCCTGACAGAATTCAATCCTGTCCTGCCTGAATCCCACCCTGTCCCTGGCAGAATCCCATCCTGTCCTGCCTGAATCCCATCTGTCCTGCCTGAATCCCACCTGTCCTGCCTGAATCCCACCGGCCCTGCCTGAATCCCATCCTGTCCCTGCTGAAATCCCACCCTGTGTCCCTGCTGAATCCCACCTGCCCTGCCTGAATCCCACCCTGTCCCTGACAGAATCCCATCCTGTCCCGCCTGAATCCCACCCTGTCCCTGCCCGAATCCCACCCTGTGTCCCTGCCCAAATCTCACCCTGTCCTGCCTGAATCCCATCCTGCCCTGCCCTGCCATCCTGTGTCCCTGCCCTGCCCAAATCCCATCCTGTCCCTGACACAATCCCACCCTGTCCCCAACAGAATCTCATCCTGCCCTGCTTGAATCCCACCCTGTCCCTGCCTGAATCCCACCTGCCTCGCCCAAATCCCACCCTGTCCCTGACAGAATCCTGCTTTCCCTTTCCTGAATCCCACCCTGCCCAAATCCACCCTACCCTGCCCAAATCTCACCCTATCCCACCCAAACCCCACCTTGCCTTTCCCAAATCCACTCTGTCCCCCCAAACCTCACCCTGCCCTCTCCCGCTGCTCCCTGCGGGACACCCGTGGCCACCCCGGTGTCCTCACCCGGGATCATGACGTGCAGCCCCTTGAGGTGCTCGTTGGTGACGCCGCTCTCGGTGCACACCTTGTCCACGAAGCGGTTGATGAACCTCACCACGGAGTTGGCCACGTCCGAGCTCTCGGCGTCCTCGAAGCCGCTCTCAGTGTCGTAGCTCTCGGCCACGCTGCCCGCGATGCTTCCCGAGGGAAACAGGGAAGGGTCAGCCCAGGACAGCCCCGGCCTGGGGACACTCCCTGCACGGACCCGGGAGAGCTCCCACTCCTTGTATGACCCCAGGAGAGCTCCCAGTGCTGACACAGACCCAGGAGAGCTCCCACTCCCGATAAAAACCCAGGAGAGCTCCCACTTGTGACAGAAGCCCAGGAAAGCTCTTACTCCTGGAAAAAGCCAGGAGAGCTCCCACTCCTCATAGGAACACAGGTAAGTTCCTGCTCCTGATATGATCCCAGGAGAGCTCCCAGCACTGATACAGACCCAGGAGAGCTCCCACTCCTCACAGGAACACAGGAGAGTTCCTACTTCTGGTACAATACCAGGAGAGCTCCCACTCCTGACAGAGGTCCTGGAAAGCCCCCTCCCATTCCTGACAGGAGTTCAAGATTGTTCCCACTCCCAGCATGGACCCAGCAGAGCTCCCACTGCCCCCCTGGGCACCACAGTCCGCCTCAGTCCTGATATAACCCTGGAATCCCAGCATGGCTGGGATTGGAAAGAACCCTCACAGGCTGTCTGGTCCAACTCCCCACAGCGAGCAGGGACATCTTTCCCTGACAGCAGCCTGGCACATGCCACGAGCTCTGTCCCAGCTCGGGTCGCCCCGGTGTCCCCAGCACCTGTTGGTGACGAAGCTGTTGCTGACGCTCTCCACGTCGCCCAGGCCGGAGCTGCGGAGCAGGCGGTTCTTGCTGGTGTCCAGGGGCAGCAGCAGGTAGCTCATCCTGTTGGCGTAGTGGATGGCCTGGCTGAACACCGTGCTCTCCTCCTTCTGGATCAGCTCCTGCTGCTTCTCCCGGCTCATGGTGGGCCACAGCCGCAGCTGCTCCGACGCGATCTCCAGCGCCGACTTGGCCTCCTGCGGCTCCTCCGTGCTCTCCTGGAGAAGGGGAAGGGATGGGGCTGTCTGCATGGACAGACACACAGGGATCTCCCAGAACTGGGGTGCAGCCCCTCATCCTCAGCGGAGCAGGCTGTCTAGGATTCCCAGAGCAGCTGGGGCTGCCCCTGCATCCCAAGGCCAGGCTGGAGCAGCCTGGGACAGTGGGAGGTGTCCCTGCCATGGCAGGGGTGGCACTGGAGGGGCTCTGAGGTCCCTTCCCACCCAACCCATTCCACGATTCTGTAACTCCATGATGAGCCCCAGCCCTTTGGGAAGAGCTCTCCTGGGCCACCCTCCCACCTGCTCCGCGTGGTTCTCCTCGGCGCTGTCCAGGTAGAGGGCCCGGATGTGGTTCTGGACGTCGCAGTAGAACATGGCCTCCCAGAACTGGATGTTGGTCCACACCACGTGCTCCTGCACGCAGCTGTAGGCAAACTGGGTGATGCCAGGGCTCAGTTTCTGTGGAAGGAGGTGGAAAAGGTCCATCTGCAGCCCCCCAATGGAGGGGAAGGATGTGGAAAAGGTCCACACAGCCTTTGTGCCAAGCTCTCTACTTGGGTGTCCCTACTCCTCCAGCCAGCCACTGGGAAAGCCCCGGGCAGGCAGGAGGGATGTCTGCACCAGAGCTCCTCCAGCATTCCCTGAAAATTCTCTTGCTCAGAGCTCACCCAGAGCCCAGAGGCTCATCCCTGCCCAGCTTGACCATGGGATCAAGCTGGCATTCCAGAGCAACCCCCTTCCCACAGATGTTCTGGCCTCCCTGGGAGCCTCGGGCCAGTCTGGGCTGGGTGGAACGTTCTGGGCAGGAGCCGTAGGCTGACAAGCCCTGAGGGGACAGCCCCCTGCAGCCTCTGCCACCTGGGGGGATCCCGAGGGCTCCGGGGTGGGGACACTGCGGTCACTCACCCTGCAGAAGGCGGTGACCAGCGGCAGCAGGGCGGCGGCGATGCCGTGCTCGTCCATGGCCGTGCAGTCCTGGGGAAGGAGCAGGGGTGACCAGGGGACATTCCAAGGCCGTCCCCTGCCGTGTGCCACGGGAAGAAGGAGCCCCCCAGCCCCGCCCTACCTGGAGGCAGCAGTTCATCATGCGGATGACGAAGTCGAACTGCTGGTGGTCCAGCACGGCGCGGTTCTGCTGCACGTGCAGGTGCAGCTCCTGGGTCAGGCAGTGCCGGGCGGCCCGGCCCTTCATGGCGCGCAGCACGGCCGGGAACAGCTGTGGGAACGGGGTTTGTGGGGTGGGACGGGGCCTGGACAGCCCTGCTCCCACACGGAGCGGGCCCACACCAGTGTCACAGGATGCACTGGACACGGAGACAAAGCAGGGCAGAATTCCGGGTGTGGCCGGCGGGACACGGCCATGGAGGAGGGGGAGCAATGGAGCTGAGCTGGTGTGGAGTCACCAGCCAAAATCCCAGGAACACCAGGAGGGGGACATGTCACATGTCAGTGGTGGCCACGGCAGTGCTGGGGAATGGTGGGACTTGATGATCCCAGAGGGATTGCCAATCCAAATGGCTCCATGGCCTGGTACTGAGGTGGGAGTGGGGCTCTGCTCCAGGGAACAGGGACAGGAGGTCAGGGAACAGATTCGAGCTGGGCCAGGGAAGGCTCAGAGGGAACATCAGCAGGAATTTCCCCATGGAAAGGGGCTCAGGCCTTGGCAGGGGCTGCCCAGGGAGGTCTGGAGTCCCCATCCCTGGAGGGATTCCAAAGCCGTGGGGATGTGGCACTTGGGGACAGGGTCAGTGGCCTTGGCAGTGCTGGGGATGGTTGGACCCAATGGGCTCAGAGGGATTTTCCAACCTCAGTAACTCTGTGATTCCACAACTTTTTGACCCTAAGCCAACCAGCAGGATGTGGGCATAGGTCAGGGAACATCCTCTCCATCCACAGAGGACACCGACCCCCCATCCCCAGCCCCCCTCACCTTTTTGGCCTCCAGCATCTTGTTCTCGAAGACGTAGGAGATGCAGTTCCTGACCACCTCCATGCACTTCTTCTCAGCCTTGACGGCGGGCGGGGCGGTCTGCAGCTTGGCCGTGGCCTGGTCGATGATCCACTGCACGGTGCCCTCGTCCAGGCGTGGGAAGGGCTTCTGGTGCAGGCGCAGGTGACAGCCCTCCGTGGGCTTCTGCACCTTGTGCATGGTCACCGCGGGGTACGGGTTCTCCTGCGTGGGGACGGCTCCTGCTCAGCCCTGAGGTCACCGTGTGTCCCCTCCCAGACAGGAGCCCCCAGGCCCCTGCTCCGCTCCCGGCTGGAATCTGCAAGTCCCAGGATCTGCTCCCCCAGGGACGCACAGCTGTGGCACAGCCATGAGCCAAGTGCCAGCAGGAGCTCCATCCCAGCCAGTGGAGGCTCCCAGGGGACACTCCTGCCTTCAGGTGCTGCTGGAAACCTCCAGCTGGGCTGGGGAGGCTCAGGGTGACATCAGCAGGAATAATTCCCCATAGAAAGGGTTGTCAGGCCTTGGAAGGGGCTGCCCAGGCCCCATTCCTGGAGGTGTCCAAGGAATTCCCAGAGGTGGCACTCAGGGCTCCGGGTGGGGGACAAGGTGGGCATGGGCACAGCCTGGACAGGATGGGCTGGGAGGGCTTTTCCAACCTCAGGGATTCTGGGATTCTGTGATCCTATAAAACCAGGGAATCCCACTCCCAGGAGCTCTGGGCACATGAGGATGTGCATCACCACATATGACAGCACCAGGAGGGACAGGGACTGTCACCAGAAGCTTATGGAGGGAGGACAGAGTGACCAGGACTGCACAAAGGCTCTCCCTGTTCCATATCCCCCAGCAGATTCCCACTCCTGACCAGGGGCTCCAGGACTCACGTTTTTGTAGAGTTTCTCTGCCAGCTCCTTGATGTGCCTCAGGATTTTCTGCTTGTTCCCCTCCTCTGCCTTCATGCGCTTCACCTCGTAGGCCACGAGCTGGGGAGGACAGGACAGGGGTGACAGGAGCAGCTCCAGGGCCTCTCCCAAACCCAGGACCCCGGCAGATCCTGCTCAGGCCATGGCAGATCCTGCTCAGCCCCGCAGATCCCGCTCAGCCCCACAGATCCCGCTCAGCCCCACAGATCCCGCTCAGCCCCCCAGATCCCCCTCAGGCCCTGGCAGATCCTGCTCAGCCCCACAGATCCCACTCAGACCCCACAGATCCTGCTCAGCCCTGCAGATCCCGCTCAGGCCATGGCAGATCTCGCTCAGCCCCGCAGATCCTGCTCAGACCCCACAGATCCTGCTCAGCCCCACAGATCCCGCTCAGATCCCGCTCAGCCCCACAGATCCCGCTCAGATCCCGCTCAGCCCCACAGATCCCGGGACGTGGGAAGGGGAGCTGCCCCGGGGCCTCACCTCGTCGAAGAGGTCGATGGGGCGGTAGGGAGCCCCGCGCTCGGTGACAAAGCCAGCGAAGGCCATCCCCTCCAGCACCTTGGTGAGGAAATCGTCCTCCGTGAGCCCCCGCTGGCCCAGGAACGCCGCCTGCCAAGGGAACGGCAGTGCCATCAGCAGAGTGGGTGACACCAAGCCGTGGGTGGGCACCTGGGTGGCACTGGGACACCTCCTTCCCTGCGCCACCTGGGTGCAGGGACAGGGCTGGCATGGAAACCTGAGCCTCTGGCCCACAGCAGCAGGACAAGGGGCAAGGGAAGGTGTCACCTTGGCATGCAGAGGCAGGACAGAGGGACACAGGGACACAGGGATACCGGGCCAGAAAGACTCTGGGACACAGGGGCACAAGGATGCAGGAACACAGGGACACAGGGATATAGGGGACACAGGACACATGGATACAGGGACAGAGGGATACAGGGACACAGAGACAGAGGGACATAGGGCTACAAGGCCAGAGGGACTCAGGGACACAGGGCCACAGGGGCACAGGAACACAAGGCCAGAGGGACTCAGGGACACAGGGCCAGAGGGACTCAGGGCCAGAGAACTGCAGGTGGTCCCTCAGCAGTGCCAAGATCCCCCAAAGCCCCAGCTGCAGGCCTGGGCTCCCTCCTCGCTGAGCCCTGCAGGAGCACCCGGGCAGGGAAGCGCTGCCTGCCCCGGGAGACCTCGGCTTGAGGACAAACACGGGATGCAGGTGGGCTGGCAGGGCTGGCGGGGAGGTCACTGCCTGGAAAGCCAGGGCTGTTTCCTGGACTCAGCTGTCCCAGCACGAGGCCCTCACCTTGTGGAAGCGGATGACGGGCTCGGGGTGGATGCGGATGATGTGCAGGCACCAGCGGTAGCCCTGCAGCAGCTGAGCAAACAGGCGCAGGAACACGGCCCGGATCTCCTTGTCCTGGAACAGGGAAGCACAGCCTGGGCTTGTGGGGCACAGGGTGTGGACAGGGCAGCTCCCAGGGCAGGGATTTCCCCCCAGCACGGGATCAACCCTGGTGTGAGGGCAGGAAATGCAGCTGAGATTCCAGGGAAAAGGGACATGGGATTCACTGCTCTGCCCCCCAGAGCTGCACAGGGAGGAGAGGGAGCTCTCCAGCTCTGGGAATGCAGCAAGCCCAAACACTCCCTGTCTGCTCCAGCCTGGCTGTGAATCCAGAGCCCACGGCACTGCAGGATCCAGCCACGGCTCGCAGCAGTGGCCTGGATGGACACAGGGCTGGAATGGTGTGTGAGAGCCAGGATGGCCCTGGGGAACAGCCCCTCACCCAGGGTCCCTCTCCTCCTGCCCAGGGTGTCCCTGGGGAACAGCCCCTCACCCAGGGTCCCTCTCCTCCTGCCCAGGGTGTCCCTGGGGAACAGCCCCGCACCCAGGGTCCTTCTCCTCCTGCCCAGGGTGTCCCTGGGGAACAGCCCCTGCTGAGGGTCCCTCTCCTCCTGCCCAGGGTGTCCCTGGGGAACAGCCCCTCACCCAGGGTCCCTCTCCCTCCCACCACTCACCTGCATCTTGAGGGAAGAGGCGGAAATGGTGGAAGGGGGGAAGGCGAGGTCAGCCACCTCCAGCTCCGGGTCCAAGACCTGCCCAGGGAGGACACTCAGCTCAGGCCCCATCCTGGCTGCAGAAGCCAAGGAGATTTCCCCAGAGACCACACAGTCCCTGTGGAAAAGGTCTGAGGGCCTGGAGACAAACCATGGGGGATCAGGAATGCTCCGTCAGGCCTGACCCTGCCTTGAGAAGCACAGCTGGCACTGGGATCCCAAGGAAGGGGGAGCCCCTCCTGCTCTGCCAGGGAGACCTTCACCCCCCACTGCCCCCAGGAGGAGCAGGAGCTGGTCCAGCAGTGCCTTGAGAACACAGGAGCAGCCAGGCCACAGCTGCTTCCTGCCCTGGGCCAGGAGCCAGCGCCACATTCCCAGAAACCTCTGCCGAAGGAACTCCCCCACCAGCAGTGCAGGACACCAGAGGGCATTGGACTGGGAATGGTCACTGTGAAGGGGCAGCAGCACCCCAGGGCAGGAATAAAGGCTCACAGAGGAAACCCTGCTGCTCCACTCCCAGCTCCCATGGAAACGTGTGTCATTCCCAGGGTCTTGGCCAGAGGCCATTGGATCAGAAATCAGACAGGACCCCAAGGGGTGGGCAGAACCCCAAGGTATGGACAGGACCCTAAGGCATGGACAGGATCCTAAAGCATGGACAGGACTCCAAGGCATGGACAGGACCCCAAGGCATGGACAGGACCCCAAGGTATGGACAGGACCCCAAGGCATGGACAGGACCCCAAGGCAGGAATCCTACTCGCAGAGGAGCCCCGACTCCACTCCCAGCTCCTGGGACACGTGTGTCATTGGCAGGGGATGGTGCTGGCAGCCCGGGGATGCTGTGGGGAATGGGAATGCTGTGGCACCCACCATGGACAGGGCTTCCCGTGTCTGCTGGAGCAGGGGCTCGGGGAGCAGGGAGATGTGCACGCACTCCGGGACGTTCACGGTGCCGCCGTCCAGGTCCGCGATCACCACGTCCAGCTGGGAGGGGACAGCAGTGGGACACAGCCCCACCTCCCAATCCCACATCCCAATCCACAGGTGATGGGGAGCTATCCAGGTGAGCTGGCTCAGGAAAGGGCCGGGAGCAGGCTCTGGCTCCTCCTCACCTTCCCTGAGCACTCAGCGGTCCCTGTGTCCCATCCCGTCCCCAAGCCCAAGGACACACTGGGATCCCTCACTGGGGGGACACCTGGCAGGAGAGGCACCCAGCCATTCCCACGAGCCCTGGCCATTCCCCTCTGGAGCCAGCCATCCCCATGTGACCCAGCCATCCCCCTGGCTCATGTGGGACACCTGGATGCATCCCGGGCTGAGCACACGGAGCCCGTGGCCCTGGGCACCCCCAGGACAGATTGAGCTGTCACCCGAGCCTGTGACACCCACGCTGCTTGTCCCCAGCCCCCTAGCACCAGGCCTCTCACCAGCTCCTGGGTCTCCGACTGGAAGATGGAGTGGACGCCGATGATGAAGGGGGTGGGGGTGCTCAGCACCTCCAGGAGCTGGGCGGGCAGGATGGGCACGTAGGTGAAACTGCAACCAGAAACAGCCTCAAAACCAGCCCCAAACACAGCCCCACTGCAGCCATGCCAGCCCTGCCCCTCTTCCCAGCCCCATCCTGGCACAGCCAGACACGATCCCAGCTCTGGAGCTGCGTCCAGGGTGCCCCTGGCACCCCCAGCCCCTCGGGCACCATAGCCACCATGGCACCCAGAGGCTGTGGCCCTGTGAATGCCCTGAGAGGGACTGGGGACAAGGCCTGCAGGGACAGGACACAGGGAATGGCTCCCACTGCCAGAGGGCAGCCATGGATGGGATCTTGGCCATGAGGAATTCCTGGCTGGGCTGGAATTGCCAGAGCAGCTGGGGCTGCCCCTGCCTCCCTGGCAGTGCCCAAGGCCAGGCTGGACACTGGGGCTGGAGCAGCCTGGCACAGTGGCAGTGTCCCTGCCATGGCAGGGTGGCACTGCAGGGGCTTTGGGGTCCCTTCCAATACAAATTATCCTGGGATTTCATGATTCCATTATACCATCCCCATCTGGTCTTGGATTTGTCGAAGTCTGACCAAGGAAAGGGTTTCCAGCAGAACCATTAACTCCAAAAGAATTTCAGGAAAAACTCCCCATGGAAAGGGTGGTCAGGCCTTGGCAGGGTCTGCCCAGGGGGCTTTGCAGTCCCCATTCCTGGAGGTGTCCAAGGAATTCCTGGAGGTGGCACTCAGGACTCTGGGCTGGGGACAAGGAGGGGATCACGAACACCTTGGACTCAGTGACCCTGGAGGGTTTTTCCAAGCTCAGGAATTCCATAATTCTGTGAAATAGAAGGTTCCTCTGGGACACCAACAGCCTCTCTGGAGCCTGGGGAGTTCAGACCAGCCTGGAGACAGGAGCTGGCCAGGAACCTCAGCCCATCTCTCCCAGCCTGGCCCTGGCAGAGCTGCCAGGAGCCCCAGTGGTGCCAGGGCTGTGTTCCCACTCCCTGTGGGACATTCCCACCTCCCAGGGTGAGTGGGGTTCCAGCCATCCCACAGGAATCACCACGGGGGCTTGGCCACCATCAGCACAGAGACTGCTGGGAACACCTCACTCCTACTCATGAAACCATGGAATCTCCTGAGTGGGAAGGGCCCACAGGGATCACAGATCCAGCTCCTGGCCCTGCACAGACACCCCAGCAATCCCAGGCTGGGCATCCCTGGCAGCGCTGGCCAAATGCTCCTGGAGCTCTGGGGCCGTGCCCATTCCCTGGGGAGCCTGGGCAGTGCCAGCACCCTTGGAAAAGAGCCTTTCCTGATGTCCATCCTGTCCCTGCCCTGGCACAGCTCCAGCCGTTCCCTAGTTGCTGTCCCTGCCCACCAGGAAGGACAGAACACCTCCCAGTTACTCCCTGGGTGGGACAGGGGCACAGCTGGCACAGCTGGAGGCTCGGGGACCCTCACCTGTACTTGAGGGGGAACATGAGAGCCAGGAGGGCCCGGCAGGCGTCCGTCAGCCTCTGGTAGCTGCTGGAGAGGAACAGGATCTTGTGCTCGGTCAGCGCCGCGCAGAACAGGAACAGCACGTTGGTGATGCCTGGGCAGGGCACAGCAGGGGCTCAGGAATGGGGGGTCCCTCTGACACCCCTCAGAGACCCCTGATCCCCCCTGGGCTGCAGCCCACTCCCCTTCCCTGCATCCTGCCAGGAGAGGAGGCCAGCATCCCCCAGAGAGCCACTCCTGGTTGGGTCATTGCCAGGTGGGCTCTCCCCTTCCCGGAGATGCTCTGCTCCTCCTGGGGGCTGGTGGCCTTTCCTGGGGGGCACGAGGTGGCCTTCCCCAGGGGGCACAAGGCCAGTGGCAGCCCTGGGCTGCTCCTCCAGACCCCAGCCCCAGTCCCACCCTCCTGGAAAAGGGATGGCACAGCGGGGCCGGGAAGGCTCAGCCGGGACAGAGCTCGGAGCCACATGCGGGAGGTGACCTGCAGGGAGGTGACCTGCAGGGAGGTGACCTGCAGGGAGGTGAGGGGCAAGGTGGGGACATGTCTCACCGAGCTGGCGGAAGAGCAGGGCCACGCTGCAGCTGCTGACAGGCAGGGAGTCATTGATGGGGGTCTGGATCACCTGCCTGTCCCCTGCTCCCAGCGAGATCGTCCTCTGCAAGGCAACACACTCCTGGTCACCAGGGCCACCCAGAGAGGGACTGGGACAGGACCTGTGCTGCTGTCCCAGTGCCCTGTGCTGCTGTCCCAGTGCCCTGTGCTGCTGTCCCACTGCCCCGTGCTGCTGTCCCAGTGCCCTGTGCTGCTGTCCCATTGTCCCCTGGTGCCGTCCCAGCGTCCCCTGGTGCTGTACCAGTCTGGCCAAGGCTCCTCCACTGGATCAGCCGGGCTGTGGGATCATTCCTGGCCCTCTGTGCTGGGGGAAGGGGAGCTCAGCCAAGGGAAGGCACATGGGGACACAAGCACACATCCACAGGGACATCCCAGGGGCCAGCAGGGCACGAGAGCTCCAGGGCACAACGCTGCTGTCCCCAACCTCCTGCCAGGGGGTCCAGCTGGGCTTTCCCTCTCTGCCATCCCCAAGGAGCCTCCCAGCTCCATGTGCTGAGCCCAGCTGGCCTGGAGCAGGGCAGGCTGGAGGGACACCTGGCTCTGAGGGGACAGCAGGGGGGTTGGTGGCCTCAGCTGCAGGAGAAGCTGCTGCTCCTCAGGCCCCCAGCACAGGCACGGGACCCAGTGCAGACACGGACACAGGACCTGGCACAGGACCTGGCACAGCCATAGGTGCAGGACCTGGCACAGCCATAGGTGCAGGACCTGGCACAGACACGGGCACAGGACCAGGCCGGTGCCCCGAGGAGAGCTCCAGGCTGCTGTCCTGGCCCTGCTGGCCCGTGTCCCCACAGCTGTCCCAGCCCTGCTCTCACATGGCCCGTGACCACTTGGCTCTGGAGCAGCTCTCCACAGGGCTGAGCTCAGGGCCAGAGCCCAGGAGTGCCCACGGACCAGGGAATGCTCGCATGGATTGAGCAGCACCTACGTCAAGCCCCTGGTGCTCCCTCCCAAGGCAGCAGGAGCCAGGACAGAAGCTGCAGCAGGAGCTCCTTGGCTAATTGAAGATCTGAGTGGATTTGTGCTTGGAGCACTCGGGAAGGCAGCAGGGCACGGAGCCAGGCCCTGCCCACGGGGCTCACTCCAGCACGGGGAGCAGGACTGGGGCTCTGAGGGGACAGGGCGAGGACAGGGAGGGGCAGCAGGAGCCCAGGACACCCACCTGTGCTCCCCCCGTGATGGGGATGGTGCAGGTCAGCAGGTTCCCGATGACGTTCTCCAGGGACACGCTCAGCCCGTCCACGTAGATGGTGTAGATGAGCCCCAGGCTGTTCTGGAGAGGGGAGCAGAGCACGGGTGAGCAGTGCAGGGAGCTGGGCTCACCCCCAGGGCTTGTCCCTGGCCACAAACACACCCTGGCAATGCCAGCTCCACATCTTCCTCGTCCACAGGGATGGGGTATTCGGGCCAGGAGCACATCCCCATCCCTGCACTGACCCCACCAGAGCAGGAGACGTGTCCCCAAGGCCAGAGCTCCATGGGAGCAGTGCCAAGGGGCTTTCAAAGCTCCAGGAGAGAGGTGACTGGGGCAGCTGGGCTGATCCAGCCTCCCTGCACCCCCAGTCCCACACAAACCCCAAGGAAGGCGTGGCAGGAGATGCTTTCCCAGTGAGGGCTGGCTGAGATGACCAAAATTTGGGCAATGTCCTTGACAGCACACATGGACTCTGGTCAGCCCTGGGTGGTCACTGTGAGTTCCTTCCCACCAAAACAGCCTATTCCAACTGGGAAGCTGCAACAGTCCCAGCTCTGGGGGCATCAGCACAGGGCAGCCCTCAGGACAAGCTGGGAATGAGGGATTTGAGGAATTTGTGTTCAGGCACCCTCAGGGTGTTGTTTCCAACCACTGAGGAAAAGGGAAAACACAAATACTGGCATTTGGAGAGGAGGGCCAGGCAGACTCTGGCACAGTGGAATAATGAGGGAAGAGCAGGATAAACCCCTGGATAAACCCTTGCCTGCTGGAATAATGAGGGAAGGTGAAGCTCAGATTCCTGGGCACTGGAATGAGGAGCTGGGAACTGTTTCTGTCCCAGGAGAGCAGCTGGCAGGACACCTCTGTCTTTGGGAACAAGTGAGGGGACCCTGAACCCTGAAGCTGCCCCAGCCTGACAGGACCCCACTCTGCTGTCCCAGGCTTAGGAAAACAGATCCTGTATTTCAGAGAATTCCCACTCCACACAAGGCAGGGACACCACCCACTGTGCCAGGCTGCTCCAGCCCCATCGGGGACATGAGGGCTCCCCAGGACTTCAGTGTTCTCCAGGACATGAGGGGCCCCCAGAACTCGAGGGCTCTCCAGGACATGAGGGCTTCCCAGGGCTCCCCAGGATTTGAGGGATCTCCAGGACACGAGGGCTTTCCAGGATTCAAAAGCTCTCCAGGATAAGAGGGCCCCCTCAGGATGCTCCCCAGGACTCAAGGGCTCCCCAGGATTCAAGGGGAATTCAAGCCTCTCCCGGGCCCTTGGAGCCAAGGGAGCAGCTCCCCTGTCCCAGCCTGGCTGTGCCCAGCAGCAGCCCCAGCTCTGCAGCCTCTCCAGTGGAAGGAATATCCTCAGGAATATCCTGGGGAATACCCTGGGGAAAGGATGGACATCTTGGGCACAGGATGGGTGCTTCTTCCCTGGTACCACTGAATATTCCCAGCCCTGAGCTCGTTCCCAGGGACACAGGAACACTCAAACATCCCCAGGCTGTCTCCAGGCCCCTCTCCTCCTCTTTCCACTCTTCTCCAGGGAAAATGCTCCTGCAGGAGCAGCGTTCCCACTGCAGCCACCTCCTGGCAGAGCAGCCCCAAAATCCACGGCTGAGCAGAGCCAGAGCCCTGGGCTGGGCTGTCACAACCCCAGCAGGGCACCCAGAGAGGTGAGCCTGAAATTCAGCCCCTTCCCAGAGCCCAGGGACACATCCTGGCTGCCCTTGGACGGGACACACACCCGAGGGTGCCCTGAGACCACCGGGACCTGGGGCTGACTCACAGCAATTAACAGAGAGACTGCTAACGAGGGGACAGACCCAGAATGGGGAGAGAAAAGGCAGGGAAAAGAAGACGGGAAAGAAAAGGAGTTCGTACCACAGCTTCGTCCTCCGCGTCAGGCTGAGGTGGGACAGACAGAGAGCACAGTCAGTTAGGACACACAGACAGGCACAGTGGGGACACAGACAGGGACAATGGGACAGGAGAGCTCACAGACACAGACACGGAGTGAAAGCAATGCCTACAGCACTGGGAAGGAGCGCTGGACACAGCAGGAGAGCAGGAAAACCATGGGAAGGGAAGTGCCACCACCAAACTGTCCCCTCTGTCACACAGTCCCTGTTCCCACGGCGCAGAGCCATCCTGCCCCAGCTGGGGGCACGGATCTGTGCCAAGCTCAGCGAGCCATGGTGGCAGGAGAAGCTGTCCTGCTCTGGCAGTCGCTCCTGGTCCCGCCGGGAGCAGCCGGATCCGGGCAGATCCCACGGGAAGGGACTGCAAACCGGGGTGCCTGGCACAGCCCGGGGGTGGGCAGCACCTCTCTGCCCCGGAGCACCGGGCAGGCCTGGCTCCACCCCTCTCCCTCAAATCCCGGCAGCACCACCGGCTCCTCCGGGACCCGCATGGCTCTGCGTGCCAGAGGGAGCCTGGAACGTGCAGCAACACCTGCCCCAAATCCTGCTGTGAGATGGGATCAGAGAGACCCCCTCGGGGTCAGGGCACCGCGGGGAGGAACCCTGGCAGGGGCTCTGAGCTCTCCCTGGAGCCTTCTCCTCCCCAGACGCTCCCAGCCCATCCCCATGGATACAATCCGTACCCAGCCCTCCCAAGGCCTCCCCAGGCACACAATGCAGCAGCACCTCTGGAGCCAGCAGAGCTGGCACAGGCAGTGCTCCCAGGAACGGGCTGTTCCTCACGGGTTCCCAGGAGCGGGGCCGGCAGCTGCTCCGTGTCCCACGGCCATCCGGGATCAGCAGCTGCAGCCCCACAGCCCCGGGGTGCCAAGGGCAGGATGGAGCCAGGCTCCCAGGGGCTGTGCCAGCGTGTTCCCACTCCCACAGGCAGGAAGCCCTTCCCAGCACAGCTGCCCTCTCCCCGGGCAGCATCCCTGACTCACCCGGAACACCTCGGCGTGGTCCAGCCGCGACACCAGCACCAGGCTCTTGGGAGCGAACAGCTGGGCAGGCTGCACGAGGGACGAGGCCTCCTCCTCCTCCTCCTCCTCGCCCTCACCGTTCCTGGCATGGCTCTGGGGCTGGGGAGACACAAACCAGCCCGGGCTGGGGGTTAAGGGATGCTCTTCCCTGTCCCAAGCTCCCAGTGCCAGTGTCTGGATTCCTGTGGCACAGGGAAGGCAGGAACCCCTGGCCAGAGCCAAAAACAGCTGAGTGCTTTTCCACCAGCATTGCTGACCATCCTTTCCATACATCCATGGATTCCTGTGGCACAGGGAAGGCAGGAAACCCCTGCCAAAGGCAGCTGCATGCCTCCTTGTCAGTGCTGCTGACCACCCTTCCCACCCATCCATGGATTCCTGTGGCACAGGGAAGGCAGGAACCCCTGGCCAGTGCCAAAGGCAGCCGGGTGCCTCCCCGTCAGTGCCACCAGCCCCTGTCCCCGTGTCCCCGTGTCCCCGGTACCTGCGGGCTCTCCACGGCCTCCCAGAAGGTGAAGCAGGCGCAGTAGTGCCGCTCCGAGTTGATGTCGGTGAGCACGGCCACGAAGAAGGTGGGGGGGTTCCTCTCGGGGAAGAGCTGCCACCCGCTGGGCTGGCAGAACTGCGGGAGGGACAGAGAGCACTCAGGGGCTGCCCCTCACCCACACCGGGTGGTCCCAGCCCCGACCCCCGGCCCACATCACCCACCGAGCCTGCGGGGAAGGGCAGCTCCACGGCCGGGAGCAGGGAGGGCACCGGGCAGAGCCCCGGGCTCCTGGAGCTCCCAACCCCGCTGGGCCACTCCGGGAATTCCCAAATTCCCTCTGTGGGAAAGCAGGGCCAGCAATATCCCCTCCTGTCCGCACCCCGGAGAGCCCCAGACTGGGAGGGGTTGTGATGGGACAGCCCGGCCAGGCAGGAGCCCCCAGCTCCTGGGGAAGCTCCCCCATGGCACACAGACCCCAGACTCTGCACACCCCCACGGCACACAGACCCAAAATCTGCACACCCCTACAGCACACAGACCCCAAACTCTGCACACCCCTACAGCACACAGACCCAAACTCTGCACACCCCCATGGCACACAGACCCCAAACTCTGCACACCCCCATGGCACACAGACCCCAGACTCTGCACACCCCCACGGCACACAGACCCCAAACTCTGCACAGCCCCATGGCACACAGACCCCAGACTCTGCACTGCCCCCAGCCCACCGTGGGCCAGACCCCATGGCAGCACCACACAGAGCCCAGAAGGAAAGGGGACACGTGGGACACGGGCTCTGGAGTGGCTCCATGAGGTGGCACCACTCCCCTGGCACAAACACGGGCCCGGCTGTGCCATCTCACTGCACCAGCCCCTGGCACTTCCCAAAGCCCCTCCCAGGCCCGGGGTAATTCCAGACTCCCCCTCCTTCCCAGTTTCAGGGGGGGTTTCTTGGTTTCCTCAGGGCTGCGTTTGGCTGCTGAGGAGCCGTGGAAAATTCCCTGGGTGCGGGACAGCCCGGCTCCTCCCAGCCCGGCTCCTCCCGGGGCTGGAGGCACGCTGAGGCAACGGGAATTCTGCAAACCCCGGGAGGAGAACAAGGTGGCACCAGGGTCTGAGGAGCTCAGGAATCCTGCTCCAGCTCCCTCAGGAACACAAGGTGGATCCCAGCTGAGAGTCTCCCAGCTGCTCACCGCTCCCCGTGCTCACATGGATCCTCCTGTCCTCCCTGGGAACAGCCCACGGGACAGGAGCTGGGCTTTGTCCGGATCCTTGGGACGGCAGCAGGAGGGACGGGAGGAGAAAGCACCCCAGGAGCTGCTTCCCACATGCTGTGTCCCTGGAAAGCAACAGCCGGGGCTTCTCCATCCCGGGGCCTCCTGACAGCTCCCATGGGAGCGCGGGGGAAGGTTTGGCTCAGCAGAACACCGGGATGAGCACACGGTGTCACTGTCGCGGTGTCATTGTCCCGACGAGGGAATTGCCCCTCATTGCTCCCACATGGAGATGTTCAGGCACTGTGGGAATGAGGAGCCCAGAGCACATGGAGCTGCTGGGTCAGGATCATGGAATCAGGGAATCCTGGAATGGCTGGGTGGGAAGGAACCCCAGAGCCCCTGCAGTGCCACCCTGCCATGGCAGGGACACTGCCACTGTGCCAGGCTGCTCCAGCCCCAGTGTCCAGCCTGGCCTTGGGCACTGCAGGGATGCAGGGGCAGCCCCAGCTGCTCTGGCAATTCCAGCCCAGGGCCTGTCCACCCTTCCAGCCAGGAATTGCCTCCCAATATCCCATCTGAAACTCCCCTCTTTTAGTTTTAAGCCCTTCTCCCTTGTCCTGCCTCCCACCCAGCATTCCCACTGCCACATCCCAGACAGGGATACACTCCAGGACCACGGTGTCACCCTCCCCTGAGAGGCAGGAGGGGTGGGGGGGCCCCAAAAACCTACCAAGCCACCTGGGATACAGAGTCAGCTTCCTAAAAAGAGCACCTGCTGAGAGGATGGGTCACCTCAAACACCAGCAGGTGACACCTGGATCAGGTGACACCGTGGAGCACACGGATATGCCGGAGTCACTCCCAGCCCAGTGTGACCTCACTCGATCCCACCTGGATAATTCATCCTGCAGGAGCCCTGTAATGCCAGCCCCACTGCCCCACCTCACCCGGATCCTCCAGGAAGGAAAACCATGGGAATGGGCACGGCTGGCAGGGCCAGGACAGTGGAGTCAGCCCCACCTGACCGATGGTGGCACCTGGTGCTCAGCCACCCTGAGTGCCACAGGAGAAGGGAACAAACACAGATCCCCATGGACAGAGCAGGATCATGGGGGTGGAAAAGCCCCCGAGCCAGCCAAGCCCAACCATTCTCAGCACTGCCACGGCCACCACTGACCATGTCCCCAAGTGCCACATCCACACAGCCCTGAAATCCCAACAGGGATGGGGACACCAGCCCTGCCCTGGGCAGCTGTGCCAGGGCTGCACAGCCCTTTCCAGGAGGGAATTCCCCAATATCCCCCCTGAGCTCCCCTGGCCCAGCCTGAGGCCGTTCCCTCTCCTCCTGTCCCTGTTCCCTGGGAGCACAGCCCAACCTCCCCAGCTCCACTCTCCTCCCTCACCAGTTCTTCCCCAGTTACTCCACAGCCTTTCCCAAGGATCCATTTTGCAAGGATCCCGCCTGTGATGTCCCAAGCCATGCTCCTGGTCATTTATTTTTCCAGCTGATCCCCCCCAGGGGGGTGTGGTGGTGCCTCTCCTCCCTCTGGAGTGTTCCCCAAACAGCTGCGGGCTCCGAGGGCCCAGCCCCGATCCACCTGCCAGGGAGGGAAACACCTGGAGAACGGGATGGCCAGGCTGGACTCTGGGGCTGGAGCAGCCTGGCACAGTGTGAGTGTCCCTGCCATGGCAGGGTGGCACTGCAGGGGCTCTGAGGTCCCTTCCCACCCAAACCAGTCTGGGATTCCATGGACACACTGGGTGAAGCTCAGCCACTGGTACTTAAATCCAACCAGAACAGGAAGCTTCCTGCCAGCAGTGTTCCCATGCTCTGGAAGTGGGGACCCCCAGGCTGTGGACCCTGTCCCAGCCATCCCCTTCAGTCGGGGCTGGGACACAGCGTTTTCCTACAAACACCTCTGTCCCTGCCCCAGGGAGCAAACCTTGGACACACCTGTGCTCACCTCACCATGGAATCCTGGGATGGGTTGGGTGGGCAGGGACCTCAGAGCCCCTTCAGGCCCTGGAAGCTGCTGGATGCCCTGAAATTCTGGCAGAGGTGGAGCAGGTCTGGAGGCCTGGACACACCCAGCAGGTGCCAAAACCATCCCAGAGCTGCTTCAGGACATGGAAAATCCCACAGCAAGTCCAGCAGACCTGTGGGATCATGGCATGGAAGGTCCTAAAGCCCAGTGCTGAGGAAGGATCCAAAAGGCAGAGTGGGAATGGCCCTGAGCCCCGCTGGAACACAGGGAGCCCCTGGATTTACAGGAATCTCCATTCCCACCTGGATCCCCCTGTTCAGCAGAGACCCTGGGCTGTCCTGGGAATGCCCTCACCCCTGGAATGCCCCCACCAGGCAGCTCCTGGGGTTCTGCAGGAACAGCTCTGAGGGAGAGGCCCCCAGGGTGATTTCTCCACAGTCTGTGCCTGTCCCCAGAGGAACTCGATCCATTAAAATGAGATATTTCTGCTGGGAATTGCCGCCGGACCCTGCGCACGGCCAGGAGCTCCAAATCCCACCTCCCTGCACACCCTGGGAAAGCTTCTTTCCCCAAAAAGCTGTCAAGGAGGATCAGCCCTGACCGCAGCGTCACGTCCCACCCGACCCCCGTGGATTTCCCGAGCTGCCTTCGGAGCAGCCCCACGTGCTGCTCCCCCAGGACACTCACAGAGTTTGTGGGAAGCCCTGGAGCCACCCCTGGCTCCCAACAGCACAGGGCTCCAATTGTTTAAATTCCAAGGATTTTTTGGCTGGACAGTTTGACCCTTGGGAAAAAAAGCAGCTTTGCTCCTGCTTGGGACAGTTCCCAAGTCCCTGCAGACACCAGGAAACTTGGAGCAGAAAAATGAAAATAAATATAAAAATAAGTGTGTGTTTTTGCCTCAGATTAAACAACACAGAAAGGTCCCAAATTGTACTGGAATTTCAGGGGACACGTGATGGGACAAGGAACTGGACACTGCTGATCTCAGTAACAAAGGGATGAGGAGCCAGCGACCCCAGTGATGATGGGCAGGGACACTCCTGCTGTCCCAAGTGCTCTGAGCTCCAGTGTCCAGCCTGGCCTTGGGCACTGCCAGGGATGCAGGGGCAGCCCCAGCTGCTCTGGGCACCCTGTGCCAGGGCCTGCCCACCCTGCCAGCCAGGAATTCCTTCCCAAGATCCCACCTAAAAGGATGTCCCTCCCTGGAACAGCTGCCCAGGGCACTGCTGGAGTCCCCATCCCCACAGGGATTTCAAAGCCATGCGGATGTGGCACTTGGGGACACGGGCAGTGGTGGCCTTGGCACCACTGATTGCATTCAGTGGGCTCAGAGGGATTTTCCAACCCAAATAAATCCATGATTCCATGAACTCCAGGGGGAATGGAGCAGCTTCCAGAGGGCTCAGCCAGTGGGTCTGTCCCAGCCCATCCTTTTCACTGGAATGGACACACCCTGGGAACGCTTCTTTCCCCAAAAAGCTGTCAAGGAGGATCAGCCCTGACCGCAGCGTCACGTCCCACCCGACCCCCGTGGATTTCCCGAGCTGCCTTCGGAGCAGCCCCACGTGCTGCTCCCCCAGGACACTCACAGAGTTTGTGGGAAGCCCTGGAGCCACCCCTGGCTCCCAACAGCACAGGGCTCCAATTGTTTAAATTCCAAGGATTTTTTGGCTGGACAGTTTGACCCTTGGGAAAAAAAGCAGCTTTGCTCCTGCTTGGGACAGTTCCCAAGTCCCTGCAGACACCAGGAAACTTGGAGCAGAAAAATGAAAATAAATATAAAAATAAGTGTGTGTTTTTGCCTCAGATTAAACAACACAGAAAGGTCCCAAATTGTACTGGAATTTCAGGGGACACGTGATGGGACAAGGAACTGGACACTGCTGATCTCAGTAACAAAGGGATGAGGAGCCAGCGACCCCAGTGATGATGGGCAGGGACACTCCTGCTGTCCCAAGTGCTCTGAGCTCCAGTGTCCAGCCTGGCCTTGGGCACTGCCAGGGATGCAGGGGCAGCCCCAGCTGCTCTGGGCACCCTGTGCCAGGGCCTGCCCACCCTGCCAGTCAGGAATTCCTTCCCAAGATCCCACCAAAAAGGATGTCCCTCCCTGAAACAGCTGCCCAGGGCAGTGCTGGAGTCCCCATCCCCACAGGGATTTCAAAGCCATGTGGATGTGGCACTTGGGGACACGGGCAGTGGTGGCCTTGGCACCACTGATTGCATTCAGTGGGCTCAGAGGGATTTTCCAACCCAAATAAATCCATGATTCCATGAACTCCAGGGGGAATGGAGCAGCTTCCAGAGGGCTCAGCCAGTGGGTCTGTCCCAGCCCATCCTTTTCACTGGAATGGAGCTCCAGCTCCTCCCTCAGGGTCCCTGGAGCTCCAGGGCACAGGGCAGGGATTGGGAAGAGCTCCCACTGCAGTTCAGCAAAGAGGGGAACAATCCCACCCCCCTAGATGAGCTGGAGGATCCCCACAGCTCCACATCCCGGGAATGTCCCAGCTCTGAGCTGAGCCCAAAGGACTGCCGGGAGCTGGTGACCGTGCCCAGAGGGCTGGGGACACCCAGACCCTGGCCCTGGGGACACCCAGACCCTGGCCCTGGGGACACCCAGACCCTGGCCCTGGGATCCAGCCTTGGGCAGGAGCTGGGGGTGCTCCCCTGCAGAAAAGGAGACTCAGGGCTGCCCTCAGCACTCTGCACAGCTCTGAAAGGTGCCTGTGCTCAGCTGGGCTGGGCTCTGTCTCCAGCAGCACTGACACAGCCACAGCACACAGTCCCGAGCTGTGCCAAGGGAAATTCAGGCTGGGTGTCAGGAAAAAGCTTTTCCAGCAAGGGGATAAAGCTCTGCCATGGCTGCCCGGGGAGGTGCTGCAGTCACCATCCCTGGGGGTGTTGAACAAGCCTGGATGTGGCACTGGGTGCCAGGCTCTGGCTCAGGGCTTGGGCTGGGCTGGACTCCGTGGGCTGCAAGGTCTCTCCCAACCCGGCCATTCTGGGAATTCTGTGTGATCCTGTGAAAGGCCTGGCCATGCTCTTGGGGGACTGTGGACCCTAAGGCTGCATCCATGGCTCCTCCAGGAGGCATTCCAGCATCCCAGAAGAGGAGGGGTAGCAGGAGGCCAGGAGAGGAGCCAGCACTGGATCCATCCTGTTTCTGGAGAGTTCTGCAGCTGGAGATGCACCCAGGGCAGGTGGGAACTGCTCCCTCCTGGCCCCCAGTCAGACCCCGTGGGATGTGCCCCAGTGTCACCCCCGGTGTCACCCACGGGTCCCCAGCCACTCACCAGCTCGATGCCCTGTGGGAAGGGGTTGTCCTCCCAGTCCTTCTCCGGGAAGCGCTGCAGGATCTGGCCCTGTCCATCCCCGCTCCCTGTGGAGACAAGATGGGATTAGAGGGCAGCAGGTACCTCCCAGCCGCTGGGAATGCCTGGCTGGAACACCAGGGTGCTCCAGCTCTCCATGGATGGGGCAGCACAGGAGACACCCCAGCCCTTGCAGCAGCACTGCCCACTCCAGCAGGGAACAGCAGAGATTCCAAGGAATCCCAGAGCCTTCTCTGGAGGTGGGAACGGTACTGGAGCAGCAGCTCCAGTCCCTCTGCAGCCAGAACTTCCTTCCCTGTGATCCCAACACGGACAGCATCCCCCACTCTGAGCTGCAGTCCCTGCTCCTCATCTCCCCGCTGGCCTTTCCCCAGACAACCCTGCCCGGGATTGCTTTTGGGTTCCTGACAGCTCCTGCTTCCCCGGGGCTCTATGGAGCACTGGGAGCACTCCAAACCCTCACCTGCCCCCAGCCCACACCATTCCAGACCCTAAATCCTGCTGCTTCCCATGGACAGCCTGGAAAAGGCTCAGCAGGGCAGGTGGGCACAGCGGGACCAGCCAGCTCTGGGACAGCCCGAGGTGACAGTGCCACCAAGTGCTGCTGTCACAGACCCTGCTGGGCTGGGAAGGGCTCCCACACTGCTCACGCCTCTCCAGAGACAGAGCTGCTCCTGGATCCACTGGGAATCACAAATCCCAAGGATTCAGGAGCCACAAAGGCAGGCAGCCCGTGATGGGGAGAGGGGGCTCCTTCCAGCCCCTTCCAGAGCTGCTGAGGGATTATCCATTTCCAGGGACCACCCGGGGCCTCTCCCATCCCAGGAGCCAGGTCCTGGCCATGGAATGGGGCTGGGAAAGCAGGAGGAGCACGAGGGAAGGGCTATTTTGGGAGCCCAGACGAGTCCCCAGGGTCCCACTCACCGCCTGGCAGCCACAGCTGGATTTAGCAGGACCAGGAGAGGGAAAGGGACCATTTATAGCCCTGGGCCAAAAATGGAAAGGCTGGAGCCAAAATGGGCACCAAATATCCACATTGGGATTGGGTTAACAGGGATGGGGTCAACCAGATCCTGCCTGGCCACGTGCTCCCACACCACTCTGTCACTCCCCGCTCTGTCACCACAGCCTTGTTCCCACACTGTCCTCGCTCTGTCACCACGTGCCTGCTCCATCCCTGCTCTGCCACCACGTCCCTGCCCCGTCCCTGCTCTGCCACCACGTCCCTGCTCCATCCCTGCTCTGTCACCACGTCCCTGCTCTGTCACCACGTCCCCCTGGAGGCAGCTCTGGCCCCGAGTGCTCCCACCTCGGACCAAAGGCTGCCCACTCCCAGTGCCAAGGGCTCGGCTCAAGCTCCAGACAGGAAAATCCCTTGAGATCCACACGTCAGGATTACGGCTCCAAGCTGTGCCCTCCACATCCAGCCCTGCCACGGCTTTGCTGCAATATCCTCAGTCAAAGGGGAGCAGACACAAGACCACAAAATCCTGGAATGGTTTGGGTGGGAAGGGACCCCAGAGCCCCTGCAGTGCCACCCTGCCATGGCAGGGACACTCCCACTGTGCCAGGCTGCTCCAGCCCCAGTGTCCAGCCTGGCCTTGGGCACTGCAGGGATGCAGGGGCAGCCCCAGCTGCTCTGGCAATTCCAGCCCAGCCAGGAATTCCTCATGGCCAAGATCCCATCCATGGCTGCCCTCTGGCACTGGGAGCCATTCCCTGTGTCCTGTCCATGCCTTGTCCCCAGTCCCTCTGCAGCTCTCCTGGAGCCCCTTCAGGCCCTGCCAGGGGCTCTGAGCTCTCCCTGGAGCCTTCTCCTCTCCAGGTGAGCACCCCCAGCTCTCCCAGGCTGGATCCCTGGGAGCTGAGGGGCTCCAGCCCTGGAGCAGCTCTGGGGTCTCCTCTGGGCTCTCCAGCAGCTCCAGGTGCTGCTGCTGTGCCCAGGGCTGGGGCAGCTCTGCAGGTGGGTCTCACCTGAGGGGCACAGGGGCAGGATCCCCCCTGCCCTGCTGCCCACTGGGCTCAGCCCAGGGCTGGGGGGTCTCAGGCTCATCACCCTCAACACTAACAGAAATCATCCCAAGGGCTGTTGAGAACAATGGGAATCTGGACTCTGGGGTTTTCCCAGAGCCAGGAGCTGCCACCCTTCAGGCAGCTGCAGGCAGGTACAGCCTGATTTTAGGGACTGTCACAACAGCCTGACTCAGGAATCCAGCACTTCCCTCAGCTGCTGCCCGGGCAGCCTGATCCCAGCTTTCCCACTTCCCACCATTCAGCTCCGTATCGGCTGCGGGATCAGCGCGTCCCTTCCTGCCCGGGAGAGCTGGACCTGCCCCATCCATTCTCCTGCCATCCCAGCTGAGATCCCTGGGAAAGCTCGAGATTCCTGGGAAAGCACGTGTGCTGTGAACCCCGGCCTGCAGGCAGCTGCTGCTCCATCCTTCCTGCGGCTCCCGCAGGCCCGGGGGACACCTGGGGGAGCCCGGCCCCTCCCCGGGCCGCGCTGGAAGGTCACGGGATGTTGTTGTGATACAGGAAATTCTAAATAAGCCCAGAGGTAAACACGGGGCTGAGCCACGGCACCGGATGACCCCGGCTGGGAGCGCTGGCACGCCGGGACACGGCGGGACACTGCCGGGAACAGCGCAGCTCGGACACGGGTCACGGACACGCGAGCGCTGTCCCCTGCTCCCCGTGTGCCCTGAACGATGGGACAAGAGGAGCTGTGCCTCAGCCTGCACACCGACCGGCCAGGCTCTGGGGGCTCCCAGAGCCTGCAGGAGGTGCCCACCCTCCCTGGAACATCCCGGGGGACTCCCAGGTGGAGCACAGCAGCCCCAGCCCCACAGGCAGGTCCTGGGCAGGGCACCAGCCCCGCAGCAGCTCCTGCAGCCCTTTCACACAATTCCCAGAACGGCCGGGTTGGGAGAGACCTTGCAGCCCACGGAGTCCAGCCCAGCCCAGCCCTGAGCCAGAGCCTGGCACCCAGTGCCACATTCAGGCTTGTTAAACACCCCCAGGGATGGTGACTGCAGCACCTCCCCGGGCAGCCATGGCAGAGCTTTATCCCCTTGCTGGAAAAGCTTTTCCCTGACACCCAGCCTGAATTTCCCTTGGCACAGCTCGGGACTGTGTGCTGTGGCTGTGTCAGTGCTGCTGGAGACAGAGCCCAGCCCAGCTGAGCACAGGCACCTTTCAGAGCTGTGCAGAGTGCTGAGGGCAGCCCTGAGCTCCCTTTTCCTGAGGAGCTGGATGCAACAGAGAGAGAGAAGGGAATTTTCACAGGGATTTGAGATAAAGGAGCTTGTTTGGAACAAGCTGTCCCACCCCTCACACCCAACACCCTCCACTCCCAGGTGACCGAAGGTGTTTCACCACCAGCATGGGACCACTGGTCCAGCCAGTCCCCAGGAACTCTGCAGGCTGGGACACGAATCCCACACCCCTGAACCTCAGAAATTTGGGATGAAATCATCCAGGGGAACACAAAGTTCAGACAGCACAGCTCAGAGTTGGAGCTGGCACAGGTCACCAGAGCAGCTGGGGCTGCCCCTGCATCCCTGCAGTGCCCAAGGCCAGGCTGGACACTGGGGCTGGAGCAGCCTGGGATGGTGGAAGATGTCCCTGCCACAGAATTGGATGAGACTTAAGGTCCCTTCCATCCCAAACCATTCCAGGATTCCAAGTCCTCCCCACAGGAGCCAGAACCACTCCAGCCCTCCTTCCCCCCAGGCTCCAACCTGGAGATGATGTCCAGGAGAGAGTGTGGACACTTTGGAAACATCCCGTTAGTTTAGACACTTTAAATTATTCCAGAAACATTCATTTCAACACCATTAATGATTCCCCAGCTCCCCCCTGGTTTGCAGGCAGCCTCACCCCTGCCTGGAAGCATCAGCTGAGGCTTCTGAGAGCTTCTTGCTGCAGGAATTATTTATAAATTCAGCAGCTTTACAGCACCAGAAAATCCTTGGTGCTCCAAAGCCCTGCCTGGAGGCAGCTCCTGCAAAGGCAAGGACAGAGCAGGCCCGAGGCCACACAACCTGTCAGGACCTGGAGCTGCTGCCAAGGGCACTCAGAGCCGAGCTCTGACCCAGCCCAGCCCAGAGCTGCTCCAGCACAGACCAACGAGGCCCAGCCCAGCAGGAGCAGGGCACTGACGGGGCTCTTGGAACGAGGCAGGAGCCATGAATCCCTGCAGCAGCACCACGCAGGGATTGGGAAATGCCCCGCAAGGCCTGGGAGCGATTGCATCAACCAGCAGCAACCAACGCAGCGGGGAGCAGCAGCCCCTGCCCCCTCCCTGAAACCTCCCCAGGCCAGCCGCATGGGGCTGGAGCAGCCTGGCACAGGGAAAGGTGTCCCTGCCATGGCAGGGGTGGCACTGGACGGGTTTGAGGTCCCTTCCCACCCGACCAACTCTGGGACTCCCCGATCCTGCAGTCACGCTCTGTCCTACCTGTGCACGGAGTGCTGGCTCCTGCCAGGCCGGGGCACGCAGCCAGAGCAGGGAGGGCACTGCCAGGCTGGAACGTGTGCCCGGGGGGCAGGAGGCCGATGGCCCCTGGGCTGTGGCAGCCCCAGGGTGGCACAGCCAGGGCAGGGACTGTCCCCTGTGCTGGCCCTGCTGAGGGAGCCCCTGGGATCCTGGGGGCAGCTCCGGGCCCCTCGTGCCAGGAGAGCCCTGGGGGGGCTGGAGTGTCCAGGGAATGGAGCTGGGGAGGGAATGGAGCCCCAGGAGGGCTGAGGGAGCTGGGAAGGGGCTGAGCCTGGAGCAAAGGAGGCTCAGGGGGGCCCTTGTGGCTCTGCACAAGTCCCTGCCAGGAGGGGACAGCCGGGGGGGTCGGGCTGTGCTCCCAGGGATGCAGGGGCAGCCCCAGCTGCTCTGGCAATTCCAGCCCAGCCAGGAATTCCTCATGGCCAAGATCCCATCCATGGCTGCCCTCTGGCACTGGGAGCCACTCCCTGTGTCCTGTCCCTTGTCCCCAGTCCCTCTGAGCTCTCCTGGAGCCCCTTTACGGGCACTGGGCACTCTGGGACAGTGGGA